ACATGTCGTGGGGTTGTTAACCAATGTCATAAAACAATATGTGTACTGACTGTTTAATGAGAAACTATTTGTTCTGTAAACCTTCATCTAAAGTACAGTTAAAAAAAAATTTAAAAAAGAGTGTTGCTATTGTAATTAAGTTTTTTTTATGTTTTAAATATTTAAATGTATTTCTATATGTTTGCTTCTGGAATAGAGATGATTTTTATATTTTGATTTGTGTCAACCACCTTACTGAATGTTTTTTACTAGTAATAGTTTGTCTAGGTATTCTCTTGGATTTCTTATGTAGATATTGGGTATAAATAATAATAATTCACTTTCTTCCTTTCCAATTCTTCCACTTATCTCTTTGTATTCTCTTAGTACACTTCCTAGGAGCAAGGAGAGGTAGCATCGTTGTCAAGTTTCTAACGTTACAAGCAATTCTTCTAAAGTTTCAACAACAAAGATGATATTTGCTGTAGGTTATCTTAATAGCTGCCGTTTATCAGCTTAAGGAGAGTTGGTGTGTATTTATTTGTATTTATACTGCTCAAGAAATGTTCAGCTTCCTGAATCTGAAGAGGCATGTCTTTCCTCAGCCACTATATCTCTGAATATTGTTTCTCTTCCATTCTATCAGGAGCCCCTAGTGGTGCAAATGATTAAGCGTTCAACTACTGACTGAAAGGTTGGTGGTTTGAATCCACCCAGAGGCACCTCGAAAGAACTGGCAATCTGCTTCTGACTTGATGGCAACTGGTTTGGTTTTTGTTCATTCTTTCGGTTCTATTCTAATGGACCTTCTCATTTTTTCATTCACGTTTCTTTGTTATATTCCATCTTTTTCTATATCTGTGCTTAATTCTGTTTAATTTCCTCACATTTATCTTCTATTACATGTATCAGATCTTCTGTTGAACCAATCCATTGAGTTTTTAACGTTATTTACTGTATTTTTCATTTTCAGATTTTTGTTTCCTATTCAAATCTGCCTTTTCTTTTTTCTTAGGAACTTACTCTAGTCTTATGCTTTCGGTTCCTTCTTTTATTGCTTTAACAATTTTAAACACACTTATTTTTTATATTTTATCAGGTTCTTCTTGTATCTGAAGTTCCTGCGATTTAATACTGCCATTTGTACATCTCTTGCTCATGTTGGACTGTTTTCTGCTGTGCCTTTTAGTTTTGGGTTGGAGTGTGAAATCTGTTTAATCAGTGCTTTATCTAGAGGAATCCTGTTAAGCCTCAACTGAGGGTAGGTCCCTTCAAAATGGTTTTTCATTTGCTTCTACAAGGCTGTCATGGTTATCATTGGCAGTGGATTAATTTTTTAGTGGATTTCTCAGATTGGGAATTTCTGTATAATGTGGGCAGTATAAATTTAAATCCTCGACATTGTGAGAGCAGACTTATGATTACTAATTCTCAAGAATCTATTATTTTTCTCCTTAGAGCCAGGCCAAAATGGATAAGCTTCCTTGGCTTCTTTGGGCTGGTGGGCTGATTGGCTTCTGGTCTACTCTGCCTGAGTTGTAGCTCTCTGAGGATCCTGTCTCTGTTGGGGGCCTCAGGTTCAACTCTGCTCCTTGTGTAGTCCCAGTGTGGGCACCTTCTAAGTTTGGGCATGTCCTGTCCAAGTGTGGGCATTTCCTGTCCAAGCGTGGGCACTTCCTGTCCAAGCGTGGGCACTAAAGCCCAAGCACCTAGGTCACCAAGAATGATGAGCTTCCCCAGCACAGCACTTTGTCTATTCTCATAACTTGTCAGTTTTAGTTTTTTACTTCCCTGGGATCATAGATATCATGAAAAATTATATTTTATTTTGTCAAACAATTCTAGGTAGTAATAACCTAGGGATCTTAGGTTATCTCCTCAGCTATGCTGCCAGTACTATAAATCTATGGGGGGTTCTTGTCTACCGTTCCTCTCCCCAGATAACAGACTCAGCACGGTCTCTTAAACCCTCAGACCCCATCCTTTCTCACGCGTGCTCACTCCTGTTGGCCACTCATGATGGCAAAGATGGCCAAGCTGCAGGCTGGACATCAGTGGATGAGAGCTCCTACTTTAGGTATTTAATCGCTGCTAGGTTATGGAGGAAGAACATGTTGCTTGGAGTTCCTTAGTTAATAAAGGGCAGTGCCCAGGTGATTGAGCTCCATGGAATACAGCAAACAGCTGAGTGTGATAGAAAGAACATGGACACTAGAAATACAGAGGCCTGGGTTCAAATTCCAGCATCTCTTCTCACTATCTGTGTGGCCTCGGGCAAGCCATTTAACCTCTCTGAGTCTGTTTTGACATCTATAAAATAGTTATAATAATGGTAATTTCATGAGGTTGTGGTGGCAGCTGATGGGCTTCAGCTTAGTGGTTAAAGAGTACAGGCCAAGAGTCACCATACTTGAATTCAAACCTTGTTTTGCCTCTTTTGACATCCTTGGGCAAACTCACTCAGACTGTTTTCTCATCTCTAAAATGGGTATAATAACGTGTTTATCTCATAGGTTGTTGTAAGGAAGAAGGTGGAGGATGTATGTAAATTGCTTAGTAGCCTACCTGTGAGAACAAGCACTCTGAAAGTGTTAGCTATCATTATTACTTTACTTTGGCATGTTTGAACTTACACGTTTTCTTGGGCTGCCTCTTCAGCCTTTGAGACCTTCCTGTAGCAATATACCATCTCGATGAGCAGCCACAAGGTGAGGAAGACCAGGAGGATGTACATCATGATTTCTGAGACCACAGAGGTGAAGTCCTCTCCAGCTGCAGGGGAGAGAATGAGCCTCAGAATGTGCATGTCCAACAAACCCAGAGCTGTCACTGGTGTCAGCAAATATATAGGGCCTGTTTTTAGGTATGGCTTAAATAAGGACTGGCTCTAAAGGAAACCAAGAAGGTGTCAAAGGATTTCATATCCACAGACTCTCCTGGTGTCAGCTTTCTCTCTTTCATCAGATGCTCTGGAGGGAGGAATGAGGGAGAGAAATGGGTGAATGAAGACACAGTAGAGCAGTAGAAGGAACTCTGGAATCAGAGCTAGGTATATATGGTTGGGTCCCAATGTGGCTACTTAGTGGTATGTAAATAGTCATTTCCCTTATTTGAGACTCAGTTGCTTAATCTGTAAAGTGAGAATAATAATTCCCATCAGTCAAGGTTGCTATGGATATTATATTACCTAATGAATATTGTCTGATATAGTACTGGAAGATGGCGCAGGACCAGGCAAGGTTTAGATCTGTTATATGTAAGGTCGCCATGAGTCAGAGCTGACTCGATGGCAACTAACAACTACAATGTATTTAAGAATATCTTGTGAGATGTAAACATCTACATTTAGGGACATGCTTCAGTTCAACCATGTTCAAGCATGATGGAGGGTGGTATCCCTAGGGAGAGGACATTGGAAAACAAGCACAGGGCCAATGCCATCTGCCCACCCAGTGATTTAGGCATGTTGTCTATGAGGGTAGATTACAAACAAGGACCTTCCCAGTTCATTTTCCATCTAAGTCACAGAACAAGGATCATGTTTATCCTTGTATTACCAAACTGCCTCAGAATTCTACTTCCACCTCCCTGCTTAAAACCTTTCAGTGGTCCATGCTGTCCTCAGGATAAAGCCCAAACTCTATTAATAATGCATACAAGGCCCTTCACAATGCAGCCCTTCTCACTTCATATCCATTCAGTTGACCAGCAAAACGTTTCTTCTCATACACACTGTAGTCTTTTGGAATCTACAGACATTTCTTCTTAATCCTCCCTAGATTGTATCTCACACCCTACTGTTCCCTCTGCCACAACATCCTCTGGTGCTTTTCAGTCTAGACTCCACTTTAATCTCCTCTGCTATGAGACCTTCCTCAACTTCTCACGTCATGCAGAGCTATACACGTCTTTCTCCATGTGCGTTTTCCATCCATCCATCACTAACACTTCTCAAGTTGTAAAGTGTTTATCTCTCTTCTCTGCCGACTTATGTGTGCTTATTGAGAATATATCTTACTTATTTCTGAATTATCAGCCTGTAGTCTACTCCTAGAATATTTGAGGTTCCAAATAAGTATTTGTTGAATTAATGAATACAGATACCGGCCTTCTTTGTTTCATGACCAACAAAAATGACAAAACACAATACATTGCAAATGTGCTGATGTATTCTCTTTCCTAGTAGGGAGGAAGGTTGCAGTTATCCTTCCTCTCTCCATCTCCTCCAGCAAATCAGGTTCATGATCCTTAATTATCCATAGGCCCCAAGGCCTTGCTTGTTAAAAGCCCAGCATAGCCAACCATGACCTTCAGCTCAGAAAAGCAGTCCAAGGGCTCCAAGATCATATAAGTTTCCTAATGAAATGGAGGTCAGAGATGCAGCTTAACGCACAGGAGAAGCACCACACCCCTCAAATATTTTTTCATGGGCTTGCTACTGCCTGATACACCATGTGTGATGTGTTTGTGTGGCTTAAAGTATGCTGTCTCTTTCAAAATGCAATAGCTCTGAAGTAGTAACACAGCAAGCTGTCCTCAGTGTTTTTCACCAGCTCAAGGTGAAGAGCCCTCAGATTTCTGTCTTAGAGCCAGGGTAGGAGAGCCTAAGCCAGGATAGGTCCAAGCTGAAAGAGGAGATGCCCTGGGACCACAGGATAGAGAGATGGCATGGACCATGGTGGAGTGGATAGCTCTGAGCAATTGAGTAATGAGTATCTGGTGAGGAGGGCTGCCAAGGAGTCACAAAGGAAAAAAGAAAAAAAAAAAAGTGGCAGGAGTGGAGATGGTGAGAGAAGGGCATAGTGCAGTGGAAATGGAACTATCCTGATAGGCAAAAGACATGGATTCCGGTCCTGCTTCTGGTGCTAATGTGCTTCAAGACCCCAAGCAAGCCCCTCACGCTTCTAGCACTCTGTTCTCCCACCCACCACATGAGGAGCACCAGTACTGCACCCTCCAATCACCTGGGGGGTCATTGCAACTGACACATGCCAGACCTCACCCCAAACCTACTGGACTCACACCTGTAAGAGTGGTGTGAAGGCCTCTACATTTGGGAAAAGCCTCCTGAGTGATTCTGATGCCCGCTGTTTGTTCAGAACTTCTGGTTAAATGATATCTACACTTCCTTCCAGCTCTAACATCCCCAGGGTCTCTGTGTCTCCAATAACAAATTTGTTTTCCTTCTATTCTTACCCAAGGCTTTACTCTGGTGCCTGGCAGGTGGACTGGCTCAGGTTGGCCACGCTTTCCAATGGCTGCTGGCTAGGGTCTCTGGAGGCAAAAGCCTGAGAGAACAGGAGGTAGAGACAGAGAGGCACCTACCTTCCTACCTTTGGGCAGTCACCAACCAACAGTTCCTGACAGTGGCCAGTAGAGGGCACCAGGCTCCCTGTCCCTCCGCTCCCCGCTCCCCCAAAAAAGTTGCCATGGAGTCCATTCCAGCTCATAGCAACCTTATAGGACAGAGTAGAACTGCCGCATAGGGTTTCCAAGGAGCGGCTGGTGGATTTGAACTGCCGACCTTTTGGTTAGTAGCCGAGCTCTCAACCACTATGCCACTAGTGTTCCCCCCAGGAAGGAGAGGTGTGTAAACAGAGAGGAGGATAATGGAACTTCTGAACAGAAAGGTACTTTACAGAGCTTCTAGTCCGACCCCTTTGTTTTACACAGGAGACAGGTTCAGAGAGAGGAAGTGACTCTTCGAGTTTAGGTTTAGGTGGTCACATTGTCCTTTTGCACTTTGAGAATTGACCTAACTCCTGTTTTAGTCATGTTGTCTGACATGTTACATGTCTTTCTCTGTTGTTCTCTCTCAAATTTACCTCATAATTTTTATCACAATAACTTATGATAAAAAAAGAAACTGGAGGACCAGAAGTCAGGATTACTAGAATCCTTTTTATAGGAAAAGCCCTGACCATCTTTAATCTTCTTTTGTATCCCATACCTTTTTCCTACTCACCATCCTGTACCTTGGGGCAGCAACAGTGCTAAGAAAGTGTTGGAGATAGGTGTCTGAGAAAAGCTAAATAAAATGGAATCACTATTTAGCCTGGATGAAAAAACACAAAGGGAGATGCATATCTCACTCTTCAGACAAGTGAAGGAAGAGTTTCAAGAGGCTAGGAGCAGCAGTTCTCAGAGCCCACTGACAGCAGAACAAGACCACCAAAGGAGTCAAGGAGCACCCTTCAGCCCCATCCTTGGGATCCTCAGACTCAGGCTGCAGCAGAAACATTTGCATTAGATTGCTGAAAGGATTTCCCACCCTAGCAAGCAACTAGCTGTGGGAGTCTGAAGACTTTAAAGACTAGAGAGCTACCAACTTGTCCCCCTCTCCTCACTGAGAACGAGGTTATGTAAAGAGGGAAGGGGCCGCATGTGTGATTATGGTAGAGGAAGACGAAAGATTGCCAAACTCTGGTTTAGAGCAGTGGTTCTCCAGGCGTGGTCCCCAGCCCAGCAGCATCAGCATCCCCTGGAAATTTGTCAGACACGCAAATTCTCAGGTTCCACCCCAGATGTACGGAATCAGAAAGTCTGGGTTTTAAGAAGCCCTGCAGGAGATTGTGAGGCTCACTAAAGTTTGAGAACCACTGGTGTAGAGGTATGCATTGCTTACAGGTGGAGGATAGATGATCTCTACATAACCTTGTGAAAATTCTCTGAGCCCACTGAGTCAGGGATTCAACACAAGCCACAGTTGTTTTAGGCTTTGTGAAGGCTCTAAGGATAAGAGTCCAAGGGCCAGGAAGAGGTTATTCTACTATCATCTTCAAGCCTTTCTGCTTTGTGGAAAGGAGCAGAAAGACACGCTGGCCACTAAAGGAAAATGCATCAATGCTGACATATTTAGATATCACCTCCCAAATACATGGGTTTTTTGTACTCTCCAAGTGTCTCACTTGTATGGAAAACCACTGTCTTCCCTCCCCCAAGAGCAGGGCACCCTTGGGACCTGGTGCCCCAGCCTCACCCTCCTCAGTGACTCGGAGGGGGATAAGCCGTGTAGTCTTCACAAAGGGACGATGTGCCTCAAACTCAAACTCCCGGGACACATTGCAGGTGTAGAGGCCGGAGTCATTCAGGGTGACATTGAGCACAGTGATGGATACGTCCTGCAGGTCCTTGCTCCCGTTCCACTGCAGGCGCCCCTGGAAGGGGCTCTCCACCTCCTGGTGGCCATTTCGATACTCATAGATCTGCAGGTAAAGAAGCAGAGGGTAGGGCCAGGAGAGAGGGTAAGGTAGGAGAGCAGAGATGGAGACAGGGCAGAGAGAAGGAACAGAATTGTGCATGGACAGGATAAAGAAGAGGCAAGTTTACAAGGAAACCCAGGATGTGGGGAAGGGATAAGGAGGGATAGAAAAGGGCAGGGAAGATAGAAAAGACAGAGAGATGGGCAGGGACAGATAAGTATCAGGGCATATGGACATGGCAAGGGAGGAGAAAGAGAAAAGTAGGCAGGAAGAAGCTTGGCAGAAAAAAAAGATGTGGAAAGAAGGAGAACAAAGGAAGGGGGTAAAACATGCAGGAGCCCAGGAGGGGGAAATCAAGAGGAAGAAAGGATTGGAAGGAGATAAATGAAAGAACAAGAGACAGAGTAAGACGTGTTGTGGCGACAGCCAGAGAGAGAACAAGGTGCAGAGACCAAGACAGGTGGTTTCATTAATAATGACATTGAATGCTCTGGCCTCAACACTTGACTCTGCAAGCTATTACTCATTGAGGGGATGTGGGGTCATCTGGGCCAGGCTACAGGAAGGGGACCCAGGATGCCAGAGAGCTGCCAGCTGATATGCACACATCAGGTCTTTTGCTTTAGAGTCAGTTATAACTGGAACCTGGTCTCTAAATTCCTTTTCTCAAACACTTCCATCCCCTGACACATCGTTTGTTCTCTACAGCTGTGTTGTCCATTCTCGTTGCCACTAGTCACATGTGGCAGCTTAAATCACTAAAAATGAAATAAAATTTAAAATCAAATTCCTCATTTGCACTAGGCACATTTCAGATGCTCAGTAGCCATTTGTGGCTAGTGGCTACTGTATTGGACAGCAGAGATAGAGGACATGTCCATCATTGCAAAAATGTCTATTAAAGAGCACTGCTTTGCAGTGCCACTGTGATTTTTTTTTAGTTTCTTTTCTTTCATCTGAGCCACCTTCTCCTCACTTTGGGCAGGCCTGGAAGCAGCGTAGTTGGCTGGCATACTGCTATGATATGATAAGGCCTTACAGGGGCCTTCATATCTGGCCAAGACCTGAACATTAACCTGGGGTCTAGCCTCAGTCCCAGCTTCACTGATGTGGCAGTCAAGCTTTAGCCAGGCTCTGTTAAGTCTCTACTGGTCCTTGTCCCCGTGCCTGATTGGAGCAAATCTACATCAGAATGGGATAGACAGCCTAGAGTCAGAAATGCACTCAGCTTTAGGAAAGCGAGAAAGAAGAGCAAGTGAAACTCAGTCTCACCATGCTGTTGTCTCCCTTAAAAGTCTTTGCGGAAGAGGAACTTGCCTCCAGCAAGGCAGTTTGGTGCAGTAAAAAGTGCCTTGAATCTGTTGTCATACAACCTGGTTCAAATCTAAGCTCTCTTACTAGCTAGTTGACTTTGAGCTTAGCTTATCTGAGCCTCAGTTACAGATATGTAGATATATACATATGTATACTTACACAAATACACATATATATGTATATGTAATATATATGTATATAGGCGCACACACACATCATATATATATATATGTATGTATGTATATATAAAGGAGCCCTGGTGGCACAGTGGTTAAGACTTTGGCTGCTAACCAAAAGGTTGGCAGTTCAAATCCACCAGCAGCAACTTGGAAACCCTACAGGGCAGTTCTACTTTGTCCTATAGGGTTGCTCGATGCTAACAGGTTTGGGTTTTTTGGCTATGTACAGCAAAACCTGTGAAAACCAGAACCTGTGTAAGGTAGAAACCTGTCAGAGAAGGAAAACTCAAATATTTTCCACTAAAGTGAGCAACAGAAAAGTGGTAAGACTATAACCTGTCAAAGGCAGAAAACTTGCAATACTCAGAAAAACATGCTAGTCCCGTCAAGATCTGGCTCTCGTAGGTTTCCCTATATATATATATATATATATATACAAAATCTAGCAAACACTTGGAGTCCTGGTGGTGCAGTGGTTAAGAGCTACAGCTCTGATCAAAAGGACGGCAGTTGGAATCCAACAGCTGCTCCTTGGAAACCCTATGGGGCAGTTCTACTCTGTCCTATAGGGTCACTATGAGTTGGAACTGATTCAATGACAACAGGTTTGGTTTGGTTAGATTAGCAAACATTTACAGTGCTTACTGTACTACAGGCACTCTTCTAAATGCATTAAAAATTATAGCTCATGAATCCTCATAACAACCATATGAGGTAGCTATGGTTTATATCCCCAGTTTAGAGACGAGGAAACTGAGGCACAGAGAGGTCAGGTAACTTGTCCATTACAAACAGCTAATAAGTTGTGGAGTTAAAAATCAAACCCAGGCAATCAAAGCTCCAGAGCTAGTAAAAATGTGAATAATGATCATCTCCAAGATGGTTGTCAAAATACTGAACAATCATTTCAGCACTGGCACTAACCAATCAGAACGGATATTGGCTGTGGTGATGGAGCAGAGTCCTGGAGGCTCCCTGCTCACCAGGGGCTAATCCCTTAGTTTTGAGATCATGGGGTGATTTAGGTATTCCTAGAGGAGGGGGTAGGGTGGGAAGGACAGTGGTGGGGCCACTTGTGTGGTTTGGCATAGGAAGTATCCACCAACCACTACAGAACCATCTAAATAGTTTACCCACTGGTGTGGCTGTACTGGGTATACCAGTTGATCACCCCTGTTATTCTTATTCCACTGGGATTATGAAAATTAAATGATATAGTCTATGTTTATTATCTCATTAATGATGTTTAGTGTTATTTCAATTTCTCTATTAATTTAATCCATCTAATAGGATGGTATGGTAGATTAAATGAAAATATAGGCAAAGTGCCTAGTAGGGTGCCTTGCACATAACCAAAAAAATTGTTGCCGTCGAGTCGATTCCAACTCACAGTCACTCTATAGGACAGAGTAGAACTGCCCCATAGTGTTTCCAAGGAGTGGCTGGTGGATTCAAACTGCTGACCTTGCAGTCACCAGCTGAGCTCTTAACCACTGTGCCACCAGGGCTTCATCCTAGCCCATTAAAAAAAAAACAAAAAACCCGTTGCCATCCAGTCGATTCCGACTCATAGCAACCCTACAGGACAGAGTAGAACTGCCCCATAGGGTTTCTAAGGAGCACCTGGTGGATTTGCACTGCCAACGTTTTTGTTAGCAGCCATAGTCTTAACCACTAAGCCACCAAGGTTTCCATCCTAGCACATAGTAGGCTGTAAATGTTGTTTATCTTGTTCTCTTCTGTCCTGCTTGTAACCAGGTATGCTTGCAGGTGGCCAGGTTCCCTTTCTTTCACTTAGGCTGGGCTCAACTAAGGCTGTCAGCTACCTCTGAGGCGCTATCAGTGTTTCAAAGAGAGAGCCAGTCAGTGGTTGTTAGATGTCATCCCCTAGACTCTCAGGAGCCAAGTAATGACTGCAGAGGTCAGCGAAAGAAAAGCCAGAGACAGCAGTCACACATACAAGGAAATCTTTACCGCCCTCTGGCCTGTAGAACCATTCTACCACCGTGGTGGCCTCCACCTCCTCCCTCTTCATGCAGGAGATGCAGCGAAGCTTCATGGGGTTGCCCTGAACAGCCTCCGTCTCTGAGGGCACCTCCACACACACAGGGAAGCAGACACTGACTGGAGAGAGGATGGATGACAAGGAAGAAATAGGAGGTGTTGGGGGGAGGGGGCAGCAGGAGAGAGGCATTGGAGACAGAGAAAAGGAGGGGAGAGAGGAGAGACAGAGAAGGAAGAAGAATGAGACAAATTTGAAAATAGCCATGTGCACGTATCTGTCCCTTCACCTGTGCTCCCTGAGTGTACACCGTGGACAGAGTCCTCTTAGAACAGGTACAGAGTGAGTTGGAGGAGACGTGGATGACCCACAGACATTTAATGAGAGCATTCCCCTAGAAGCAGTGTAGATACAGCACAGTATATAACTGAGTATATATATAATTGAGCTCTACACTCAAAGACCTGGAGTCCAGCTGGGGAAAAAGAACCTGCATGTGTGCATCAGCCATCCATCCACCATTCATCCATTCATCTATCCATCCAGCCATCCATCCATCCATCCATCCATCCAGCCAGCCAGCCATCCATCCATCCATCCAGCCAGCCAGCCAGCCAGTCAGCCAGCCATCCATCCACCTAATCGTTCAACATTCCCTGAAAATCTACTGCTATACCAGGTCTTATGTTAGACTAGAGATACAAATAGGGACAAAGTACTAACCATACCCTAAAGGCCTTTACAGTCTAGCAGGGAACATACACACTACTAACTATAAGTAAACCAGACTATGGAAGTGACATGTTAGTGACATGCTCTGTTCCCCAGAGCAGCAGCCCTTACTGCTGCTGGGCTGGGGAGAGAGGAAGAGAAGGATGATGAAATATGAAGCTGAAAGTTAGATAGGACTCATGTTATGAAAACCTCTATATGTCCTTCACAATATGACATATTGAAAGTTTTAAAGCCAGGAGAGATGTAATTATATCTGTTTTAAGAAAAATGTAAGTGATTCTGCTCTGTGATGGAGGATGGAGTAGTAATGAGGAAGTCAATGAGCTGATCACTACTAGGCCGAGGCAGTGCGTCATGCAGAGGAGTAGAGAGAGATATGAAGTTAAAAATCTGGACAGAGGTCAGATTGTGAGACACCTTGCATCCTACATGGAGGGAGTTCATGCCCTCTAGAAATGACTGGCCCATTACAAAAGGCAAACATATCAGACTGCAAATTCAGAATGAGACAAAAGAAGGGCAAGGCTGCCAACAAAGCAAGTACAAGTGTGGGCTGCAGTAACAGATATACAGCGTGCAGAACAAAGGAGAAACTGTGCCTCCTCACTGTTCAGAGCAAATTTGGACCATTATGATAAATTCAGGTGTCACAGTTTACAGGAGGAAGTTGTTCAATGAGTACATGCGCACAGGAGAGCAAGATGGTGCAGGGTCTAATCTGCAATCTGCAGGGGGGCCTCCTGTCTCTGCATATGGACCATCATTCCAATACAGAGAGGGACCACATCTAGGGAGAAATGATCAGAAATATCTTCAGCATGTGATGAGTCTGAAGTCATGGCAGACCTGGTGAAAAAGAAGTCATGGCTTGCACGAACATTTGGGAATGGAAGGGGTAGAAGATGTGCAGAGAGAACCTGTGTAGCACAGAGCCTTGGGGCACATTCATATTGAAGGAAAGGTGGTAAAGATACACTAGTTCAGCGATGATGACTTTGAAAGCAGAACAGGAAAATGTCCTAAGGAATGTACAGTCATGATTACAGAGGCAAGATAAAGATGGTATTTGGCAACTGAAGGCCTGGGTTTGATCTACTATTTAAATTTTCTGAGACTCAGTTTATTCATCAACAAAATATTGAAAATTTTACCTACCTAATAGATCTGTCATGAGAATTCTATGGAATAATTTACGTGAACGTGCTTTATACAAACGTTACTTATTCATGTTATTTTATCCTTCACTTATTTGTTCATTTAGTTGACAAATACATTGAGTGCCTACTGTGTGCCAGGCGCTGTTCTAGGTACTGGGGATACAACAGGGAACAAAGCAGAAACCATCCCTGCTCTCAGGGAGCCTATATTTCAGTGGGATAGAGAGAGAAAATGAACGATATTACATTGTAGTAAGTGCTATAAGAAAAAATAAAACAGAGGAGATAGAAGAGGAGCCCTGGTTGCACAATGGTTAAGCCCTCGGCTGCTAACCAAAAGGCTGACAGTTCAAAGCAACCAGCAGCTCTGTGGGAGAAAAGACCAGGCAATCTGCTCCCATAAATATTACAGCCCAGTAAACCCTATGGGACAGTTCCGCCCTGTCATATGTAGGGTCACTATGAGTCCAATGGCACACAACACTGAGAAGTTGACATCAAACAGACACTGAAGGAAAGCAGTGAGGGTGTGAGTTATGTGAATATCTGGGGGAAGGCATGCCAAAGAGAGGAAACAGCAACTCAAGGGTCTGAGGGTGGGAGTGTGTTTTTAAGGCTCAAGAGACAGCAAGGACCCCAATGTGGAAAGTACAGTGACCACGATGAGAACAGAAGGAAATGAGGTAGGAGAGCTAGGCCAGGGCCAGATCATCGAGGTGGGGCTTCTAGGCCATGGTTAGGACTTTGGCTTTTGCTTGGAGTGAAATGGGGAGCATTGGAGGGTTCTGAGTGGAAGGATGACATGATCTAATTTTATACAAAACTGTAAAATTTGACTGCTGTGCTGAGAATAATCTAAAGTGGCGAGGGGAGACAAGGACGGAAGAATGGAGAACAGTTAAGAGGCTGATATAGTGATCAGACAAAGATGATTTTGCTTGGATGAAGGTGGTAGTAGAGGTGTTTGGGGTTTGAAAGAGAATAATGTGCTGGATTCATGTCCTTGAGTAGGTGAGAGGACATGTTCTCTAGTAGATGGGGTGGCTTTTATTAGGAGCGCAGTCAATTCACTCACAGCTAAAGGAGGGGAAGGTGGTATATATGCAGTCTGGATGGTGAATATGGTATGGCAACAATGTAGGAGAGCTTCTCTCTTTCCTGAGTTGCCCCCGAGATGACAATAACCCAAGGTATCACCAGGAAGCGGGCTCCACTGCTTCTCTTTTCCAGACAAAAATCCAGTTTTAAGCCATGAGAACTTTGCTCATGAAGTCCTGGATAGTCCATTGCAAAGTGGACAAAACGTCCTCCCATCTCTGTTTGCATGCCCTTTGTAGTATGTCAGTTTCTAGAGTTGGCCATGTTACTTGCTTTGGCTCATGGAACATTAACAAATGTGATGCCAGCAGAGGCTTGAAAAGGGTTTGCATATTGCAGATGCTCTCTCTTGCCTGAGCTACTCTGCTGGAAGGTGAGAGACCACATGTACTGAAGCCCTGGCTGCCCCAGCCTTCGCAGCCGACGTTCCAGACATGTGAGTTCAAACCCAGCAGAGCCAGCCCACATCAGAAGAACCTCCCAGTTGGCCCACAGACTCATGAAAAATTAAAATGTTGTTTTACATCACTAAGTTTTGAAGTAGTTTGTTGTGCAGCTACAGAAAACATATGTACAGGTTCATCCCTTCCCCCATCCTTCTCCCACAACCATACCTACTGTGAATAAGAGCCCCTAACCCTAAAATCAGTACTACTCACTCTCTTACAAAATGATTCCCCTCACTCTCTCAGTCACCCTACCACTCTGACCCTTAGCCCTGATGATGGCCATAATTTATACGACCCTTATTACTACTAACAGCTATTACCTGTTGAGACTTGCTTATGAGACAGCCCCTTTACATGCTGTATCTCACTTACTTACTACTTACAATAAGCTGGCAACAAGGTAGGTACTATTATCCCACTTCAGATAAGGACACTGAGTCTTAAAGGGATTAATTAACTTCCCAAGATCATACAGGTAGACATTTGAACCTAGGGCAGCCTGATTCTAAAAGCTGTGTTGATCTACTACATTGTGTTGAACACCTAGATTTGTTTCTGTCCTCTTTTGCATGTGCTTCTCATGTTTCTAATTTTCACTTTTTTTTTTCTCTAATGAGGGCAGCATTATTCTTTCTATGCAGTAGTGTTCTCATAAATGTTTACCAATTGGCTCTCTGGGGGGAGAAAGGGTCCTGATTTGTAGTGTTTGCCAATCTCTGTGATGTAAATACACCCACGAAAGCCGATGTCAAGCTACCAACATGACTGAACATAGAACTGGAAAGAGATGTGAACTTGTCTCTCGTGAGTGGGTGCAAGCTGGCTCTAGCACCCATTGCCTTTGAGTTGATTCTAACTCACAGCAACCTCATTTGTTACAAGTAGAACTGAGCTACATAGAGTTTTCTTGGCTTTAATCTTTACAGAAGCAGATTGCCAGGTCTTTCTTCTGTGGCACCTCTGGGTAGGTTCAAACCACAAACCTTTCAGTTAGCAGCCAAGCACAAACCGTTTGCACCACCCAGGGACCTTGGCTCAGCACACCACACTTGATTTCTAAGAAATTCTTTATGTACCCAAGAAGAACTTGTACATATGGCAGGTGTTCAACAAACATTGCTGACTATAAATGATAAATTCCTGGAATAATCTTGGTCAAGTCATTTAACCTTCAGTCTCCTCTTCAATTTTCACAATAATAATAGAAAACTTATGGGGAAGAAGGAAGAATATGATGGTTATATCTAACTAAGGAATATCAGTACCAGTTGCTGTCAAGCTGATATCAAGTCATGGAAACCTCACGTGAGTCAGAGAAGAACTATACTCCATAGGGTTTTCAACAGTTGATTTTGTTTTTGGAAGTAGACCGCCAGACCTTTCTTCCTAGGTGCCTCTGGGTCAACTCAAACCTCCAACCTTTTGGTTGGCAGCCACACACATTAACCATTTGCACCACCCAGAAATTCCAACTAGGGAATAGCATCAATCTATTATGAGGTGGATAGTAACGTATACTGAACCATCCCTCTACTCTCCCTAAATCTTTCTCTTGTTTGGGCATTGCCAAATCCTCCCTCTTGAGCCTGCTCTAGAATGTTTTCCTTTGCACCTGATAATGAAAGCTTGGGTTAGAATGTAAATACTTTCCACAAATAAATATACTTTTAGATATAATAACTTGAAATGACTTGGTCTCTTAGATTAACCAGTCACTTAGCAGGGCCTTGAAGAAATGAAATGCGGGAAGAGCTGCTGGGGGAAAAGAACGAAACATTCTTGAATGCAGGGTACAGCTGGACAGGTAGACCTGAAGGGGAAGAGCATAGAAGGTACTAGGAGCCTAAAGGATGGGTGAGGGCCTAGGAAAGACTGTCAGGATTGGGATGGCTCAGAACCAAGAAGGGAGGACAGATGCCCACCTGGCAGTTTTACACAGCAGTTGATGTGTCCATGAGATGTGCTAGAACGAGCACTGGAAGACTGAGTTCAGGAGACAGGAGTTCTCTAGCAAGTCCTTTATCCCTCTGAGGTCATTTTCTCATCTCTAAACTGGAAATAATACCACCTCCTCTTACTATCTCATAGGATTGTTATGGGGATCAAAAGAAGTCATGGATTGAAAATTGCTTTGTAAACTGTAAAGTACCAGGCAAGGGTTAGCTTTTTTTTTTTAAGAAAATGTTTCATTAAAGGAAATACGGGAAATTTTGTACATGCAAAAAATAACAGAGAAGACTCTTTCCATTCATATTGGGCATCACTGGAAAAACCAACTTGGGAAGGGGGACTGCAACTAAGCTAAATGCTTCCTAACACTGGAATTACATGCAAATAAAATGAAATGGCATTTGTGAAGCAGGACTCTTTCTCTTACAGTTAACAACCAACTTTTCTCTCATTTCCTCTGCAGCTTTTGGGTTTGGTGAGCTGATGTTCAGATTACAAAGCAGTTGAGACTGAGCAAGGATGTATGCAATGTGTGCACTCCTTCCAAAGGTTTTTATTTTGCACCAGAGGGTAGGGGTGGGATCGGGCATTCTGCCAGTTCTAGCAATATTCTGTAAAGATTTCCCTACCATTCAGTGGTGAAGATGAAAGAGATGTTAAACATCTGCTGCTGCTCTAATTTCCTTACTTTACAGAGAGGAAGCTGAGGCTCTAAGGTTGTTACATAGAGATCTAGTGGCAGAACTAAGGCTCCAAGCCAGGCTTCTCAAGCCCCGGACAAAAGACCCTTCACAAGAATTCAGGCAGGGACCCTAAAAACTTAGATTAGGAAATACTGGGGCTTGGGGAGGGTATTGATGGCTCTGAGGAATATTACCCCCACCCTCTCTACAACGTCATCTCCTGCTGCTTTCCCTACACTCTCTCCTCTCCAGCCAGACTAACCTCTCCTAAGCTCCATGTCCCTAGCCTTAGCCTCCCCAGAGAAAACCTCAGCCTTAAATCTTCATGGCAAGTGAGATCACTGGCAACCTATTATGTCTGCTTCATCTCTAAGCTTGGTCTACTCTACTGGGGATGGATGGTGGTGAGTCTGCCCTTGTGGCTGACATTATTTTCCCTCCTTGCCCTCCCCAGCTCATCAGGCATTTTGTTCCTCAGGAAACTGGGCTCTGCCTCTGGTCACATGCAAAATCCAGATAATGCTGGCGGCCGAAGTCAGTCCTGGAGGCTTGACAAAGTGACATTAAGGCAAAGAGGCAATTCCCATCAGCACGTCTGCCACTGCACAGGTAGAATGAGTTTCATGCCAATCATGGGAGCATAATCCCACATGTCGCATTTCAACAAGGCCAGTGGGCACAATCATACTGAATTACCCTGGTTATTTTAGCATGGAGGAAGGCAGCTAAGATCATGTAAAGCAACATATCAACTGGAGAACACCTATATTTGATGTGAGGATCTAATCAGAGACACCAAAGCAGAGATGCCCAGAACCCCCCACTCCGGCCACACACAATTATACCCTCACCAGTGCATTCAGATGCCTATAGTAACCTGCTCAGACACACACTAGCACACTTTCAGACACTGAGAGATACATTAACACACAGTAAAACATTCTATCGCATATGCAGACATTATTATGTAGACTCACAAAATCCCTTTTACATATATTCAGGCACGCCATCTCTAGAATAACCCATCTCTGACACCATCCTTGCTTAGCCTTACTGTTACAAGTGGGGGATCCCCTTATTTTGAGGGAGAAGGTCACCTCAGTCTCTCACAATAGACAAACAAAAGTGTATTCATCTTCGAAGGCAAAACATCCAGCTCCACAAACACCAAATCACCTTAGCTCCACATGTTCATGAAAAAAAAAAAAAGATCCAATTCCCAATTTCCTGTTTATTGAATACACTGCAGCAAATAGCTGAGACCTGTTCTCGCACCCATTCATTATTCAAATGAAGTAGATGGACCTACATCTAAAGCATTTTCACTTTCAAAACGCATGCATCTAGCTTTTATTTATTTTTTAATGTAGGGAAACTAATTTGAAGATCCAGCAACATTTCCAGTATTGGCTCCTCATTAAGAATAAGGTGGAACTGCAATCAAGGAGATTTTTTTTTTTTTTTTTTTATATAATGAACGTGACTGCATTCCCTTTCAGCAAAGGAAAAAAAAAAAAAAATCCTTTGGAATGACCAGGAAACTGGAGGAGAGGTGGAAGAACCACCAAGAGAGGTTGGGGAATAAAGCGGCGGAGCAGAGGAGTCTTTACCATCTCAGAATTCCAGCTCGCATGGAATCCCTATGGATTTCCCCGTGTCTGCCAGAGATGCACACAGAGCAAGCCAACCGGGTCTCCTTTTTGCCATCAACGACATCAATAAGTGTTACTATTGCTAGCATTATTACTGCTATCTGCATTTGCCAGTACGTTGCTGGTACTTACCCCAGTAGATGAGCACCAGGGAAGCCAGGGAAAACAATCTGTTGAAGGCAGGCATCTTTTTCAGCTAGTGGCTTCCGGGACTAAACAGATTCCCTCGGTCAAGGACTGCACCCTCTCAGATACTTTCGAGGAAACCCTTCGGGACGAACTGCCCCCAGGGGGCGACTTTCTGACTGACAGAAGGATCAAGTGCCCGAGACTGGGGAGGCTTTGTGGGTTGTTGGAGCCGGTCAGGGAGTTTCAGCTTGAAGCTACCCTAGTCGACCGCGCCAGTTGGATGGAGCGGCTCGGCAGGTCGGCGCTGGCTCCCCGAACCCGTGGCGGGGATGCGACTCAGCACCACGGACAGTATCTCCCCCACCCCACCCCCACCCGGAACTTCAGATTCCAGTTAGTTCCCCAGCTTTCTCCCGTTTGCGCCTAGGGAAGCTCAGCTGGGAAGCGAGTAGCAGCGCAGGCTCTAGGAGGCCTGATGTCGAAGGGGTCCGTGTTTACCCACCGCTCCTCCCCTAGTAACAGCTATGCTCCGACCAAAATCAACCGCGACCCATGGGCTCCGGCAGCATCCACCCCGGCCGGCTTCTCCAGCTGGGCGTGTCCCCCACACCCGAAGCCACCAGGGCCGCCCGTCTGAGCTGGAGGAGTCGTCGCACGTTGGTCCCGTCCACACCCGTCCTCGGCTCCCCAGGGAGGCCCTGAGGGGCCAGGAAGAAGGCGGAGGCTCCCGTATGGCCAGCGATCTCAGAGGTGGGGGTGGATGGAAAGGGTGAGCCCCTTTCCCCGGAGCTCGCTTCCGGCTCGTCCAGTGCCCCGACCTTCTGCGGCCGGTGACGAGCAGCCCCTCTCCTGGCTCGCCCGCCTTGTGTGCCGTGTCAGCTTTGACATGCGCAGGAGGTTCCCCGCCCCCAGCCCCACCCGGCCGCCACCACGGACCCACCCCCTCGCGCACACACTCCCCACCCCCAAACAGGCGTGCTCCTCGCACAGCCGAGTGCGGACCCGAGCTGGGGCGGAGCCTTGGGCGGTGCAAATGGCTCCAGTCCCAGCAATCACTCTGTTCGCTCTCTCCAGGTCTTTCTTTCACGCCTCCACACCTCTCCCAAGCACTGGTGCACCTTCTCCCACAGATTCACAGCCTCCTGGCAACCCCACTCCTGCTCCCACACAGACAAGCTTACCTCCAGCTCCGCGAAGGGGAGGGCCAAATCTTTTTCAGGCAATAATGTCATCTGCAATGCACACACTACAGGGCTCCTGGCTTCTCTCCCCCAACCCCATCCCCTTCTTTTCTCCCTGTCTAGCCTTTGTCTGGCCTTGATTAACTGGTTCCGGGCACACCGAACCCAGCAACATAATTCCTGTTTAGGGGAAGTAGGGGTAGGGGTGGGCACACATGTTCCTGTGTTCACCTCATCCCTCAGTGGGGTGAGCCAAATGTCAGCAAGAGTGGCGTCGAGGGTAGGGGGAAGATAGGTCTCCTCTTCCCTTCACCTGGTTCTTTGCAGTTCTCCCTCTTTCTCTAACCACTTCTACTGCTGTTGTTGTTATTTGAAAACAGACTGTGGTTTGGCCCCTTCCAAATATTAGCCACTCCCTAGTTCTAGCAGCTGTTTCAGTTCCCCGCCCCATCTCTGGAAGGGAAATCCGAACCTTTAAATTCAATTAGAAGCTCAAATTGACATAATACATTAGGAATGCTTGGAACTGAAATGAAAGATTAATACAGGAGTCTCTCTCCCCCCTCTTCTCATCCCCTGCTCCCTTTCTAAAAGGGGTAGCTTAACACTGATATTTCAGAAGGGAACCTCAGACTAACAGCTGGTTGTAAGTGAACCGGCTGCAGGAAATTCTCACTCTTAACATACCAGGAGCAATAGAATGTGCCCAAGATCGGATCTTCTCCCTGAGTAGCAAGCCACCAGCCTATAAACGATGTTCTTTTGAAGACAGCCCTTGAATTATGTCCCCCCAAAAATGTGTGTATCAGTTTGGCTGGGCCATGATTCCTGGCACTATGTGATTTTCCTATATGTAGTAAATCCTGCCTCTACGATGTTAATGAGGGAGAATGGGTGGCAGTTGTGTTAGTAAGGCAGGACTGGATCTACAAGACTGGATTGTGTCCTGAGGCAATCTCTTGAGATATAAAAGACAGAAGCGAGCAGAAGGACAGGGAGGGGGACCTCTTACCATCAAGAAAGCAGTGCCAGGAGCAGAGCTCGTCCTTTGGACCGGGGACCCTGCACCGAGAAGCTCCTAGTCCGGGGGAACACTGATGAGAAGGCCAAGAGAGAGAGAAAGACTTCCCCTGGAGCTGACACCCTGAATTTGGACTTTGAGCCTACTTTACTATAAGGAAATAAACTTCTCTTTGTTAAAACCATCCACTTGTGGTATTTCTGTTATAGCAGCACTAGATGACTAAGACAGATGGGAAGTTAAAGTTGACTTAACTCAACCTCCTTTCCAATTCATGAACCCCATACCCCCAACAACACCCCTGAGGAGTGGGCTTGACCTTTCCTGGTGAAAGACCCTTACTACTTCTATTGTTTAAGGAAGTTCTTCAAATTCCATTGAATTCTGTACACCTCTCTTTCATCCCCAAACTCCATTAAGTAGTCCTAACGCTGTTTTCTGGAGCAAAATACACCTCTTAAATCTTTAAAAGAACTTTGCTTCCCCACTCCCACTCCAAGACTTTTTGTTTGGTGCTAAGCTTCATAAGTTAATTTTACTGTATTTTCTACCAGTTTCCAATCCTTAGTCACCCTTGTTGCCCTCTCAGGGCAATTTTCAATTTGCTGGTGTACTTCTCAAAATGACATCCGGACAAGAACTGATGTTTCCTGTGTGGTCGGCTAGCATAAATCCAGTGGAAATATGGCCATGCTTGCTTTAGAGGGTATGTGAATTCAAATGCTATTACACCACATCTCACTTGTAATGAACTTCTGGTCAATTAAAACCTCTAAGTAGTTTTCACTTGACCTGTTGCAGTCATTTGTACTTATACAGAAAATTTTGGTTGTCTTATTTTGAAAATTTGCACTTATTGCTGTTAAAATATATTAGTTCCAACCGATTACCACATCCTGTTAATATTTTTGTTGAATCTAGATTCAATCACCCAACACGTGTCTCTTCTTTAGCCTTGTTTCATCTTTGGGCTTGACAATCACTTGATCTTAACACAGATTTTAAAAAAATGAACAGAAAGTAAACAAAGAGAATCCTTTGGCATTCCTCTAGAGACCTCACTCCATTTGACAATGAACTACACTAATTAGACTTCGTTAATATGGTTGCTCAATCATAAATAAATACCCAAACACAACTCCCTATTTTCCATATGTATGGCATGACACATTTTGAAAACTTAAAATCAAAGGCATTATGTGAACAGAATTAGACGTCTAGTGATCCAGAGGAAAGAAGTAGGATCAATGGTTTACATTTACATGGAAACAGATTTTCAGCAATACATTTCAAACCATTGCAAAGTGGAATGAATTATCTTTTGTTGTGTTCAAGCATTTGCTCTCCAACCAATTACTGCTGTAGAAAAAAAATCTTCTATAGGTTAGAAATTTGGGATAAATTATTGATAAAATTCCAAACATCTTTGCTATGCTATGATTTTATTGAATGTCTTCCAAGACTGAGATACACAGAGTTACTGAGATATTTTCACCCCGATAATTCTAACAATCACCACCACCACAACAACCACCATAACTACCGATGGATTAGCTTAGCTTTACAGAATTTTTTTCTGGTCTATCTATGCTGACTCTTAATAATCATATTGTTCTCTTCTAAATGTTTAGTAACCCCATTTTAAATAGTTAATTTGAGGATTTTACATGAGATGTTAAGAAAAAATGTACCTGTCTCCAGTTTCCATAAGCCTTTCCCCCACCTTCTCTATTGAAAATAGAAACATTTGCTCTCTGCTGTCTTCTGACATTTCCCTTGAATTTTGGCAATGCCTCTCAATCACTTTTGCAAGTTCCTTAAGTTCCCTGAAGTACATTTGGCCTTGTATTCAGTCTTTAACTCATTTAAATCATTTAACTCATCCCTTCCTCTTTTCTGCCATTTTGGCTTCGATCGTTCTTGCCAATGTTTGTTTGACCTTTTCCAATTTAGTGATAATTCTCCTCTTAACAACTGATGGGTGAAACCATTCGTTTCCTTCTCTGAACAGTAGCCAGAGAGGTCTTTATATTCTTTCTACAAGGTCAAGTACCTAATTTGCTTAAAGTCGTTCAGTGACATCTCACTGCACTTAGAATAATGTCCAAACTCCTCACCATGGCCTAACAAGGTTCCCCTGACCACTGGCTCTCTCTCCATACTCATGTCTATCACTCTGTGTCTTGTTCACAATGTTCCAGCTACACTTGATTTTGTTTTCTAATGTCCTTCAAACTTATCAAGCTTTTCCCATCATAGAGCACTAGATGTTCCCTTTGCCAGGAGTGTTCTCCATCCCATGGCTGACTTCTTATCATTCAGGCTTTGCCTCAAATGACTTCTCCTTAGAGAAGTCCCTGGTCACTCTAATCTGGTTTCCTTCCCACCTCCCCCACCTGAACTTACTCTCTTTCTCATTACCCTGTTTCTTTTCTTCATGTATTCTATTGCTATTCAAAATTATCTGTTTTTAATTTACATACTTGCTTGTTTTCTGTTTTATCCCATCAGTATGTAAGCTCCATGAAAGCAGGAGTCTTGTTTGTCCTGTTCACTGCTGTAGCCTGTGCCTAGATTGGTGCCAGACAGGTCGTAGGTCCTCTATGTATTCTGAATGAATGAATAACTGAGTATATGAAAGGGTGAGAATAAAGTGGAAAGCATGAAGAGCTGAGGCCAGAATCAATAGAGGGAACAGGAAAAGAGTAGTGGGAAAAATAGAGGATCCAGAAACATGCAGTGCCACAGTAGGCAAGGAAGAGAGTCTCAAGGCTTGAGGGGGCACTCCTCCTTAGAGAGGGCTCCAGCTAATTGTGCTCAGAGATGGAGGAAGAGGACAGAGAGTATGGAGCCTGAGGTTTTCAGAGATTTTGAGGTGGTGGGGAGGGAATGACTCTGCTGAGGGAAGAAGCAATGGCATCTGAGATATTCAGGAAGAGGTTAGTTTTCCTGATGAAAGAACCCCTTTTCACTAAGACTATGGGGGAGGAATTAGAGACTGCAGTGGTGGCAATGACATTGTGAGTAGAGATAAAATGTGGGGACCAGCTACCACTTGTCTGTCAGTTTGCTGTTCTGTGATGGCTTGCATGTTGCTATGATGCTGGAAGCTATGCCACTGGTA